ATAAATAAATAAAATATTTTCAAATTTCAATCGAAAATTAATCTAGTTATTCAAAATATTTCAAATAATTCACACTGAGATAACAAGAGAAATTTTAAAAATTTTTTGAATTTCTTTTCCCCCCAAAAAATGCAGATTAATCTAAGATACAGATAAAAATTCAGATTAGTCTAAATTATCCTTTCATCAATAATATGATGATAATAAATCTTTTATAGTAAATATAACTATCGATTGATCATGATCTGATCAATCGATGATGATGATATAAATATTGGATCGATTAATCAATTTTTCAACAATCGATCCAATATTTGTGTATGTTTCAAACAAAAAAAGTAATTTTCAACAAAGAATTGTCAAAAAAAAGTTCAAACAATGAAATTCGTTGGATTATCATTTGTTTTGTTGGCCATCGTTTTGGTTGGTTAGTATTGAATTATGGCTTGTTTTGTTGTTGGTAAATTTATATTAACCCCTATTTTAATTTATGCTTCCAAATAAATAAATAAAGCTAACGCTGATAATACAACTGATCAGGCAAATAAATATGCTGATCAAATTATTCCAACGATTATCAAAACAAAACATTTGGATCCATTAATAATTGGCCATCAAAATATGCAATTTTATATTAAGTATTGGGGTCCGCATTTGGTTGAAATTGAAATGATAAATGTTACAGTTAATGGTCTAAGTCATATTCATCGTAATGGTAATGCTGTAATGAGAAATAATAGCGGTACAATCGATATTCAATTTTGTTTGAATGATGAAAAATTTATCGTAACCAGTGGNTTTTTTTTTTGGTAAATTTATATTAACCGTTATTTTAATTTATGTTTCAAAAAAATGAATAAATAAAGCTATCGCTGATAATACAACTGATCAGGCAAATAAATATGCTGATCAAATTATTCCAACGATTATCAAAACAAAACATTTGGATCCATTAAAAATTGACCATTATGAAATTGGGGTTATTGTTCACGGTATTCTTATTGATATTAAAATGAAAAATATTACAGTTCAAGGTTTAAGTCATATTTATCGTAATGGTAATGCTGTAATGAAAAATAATAGCAATATTATAGATATTCAATTACAATTGAATGATAAAAATATTATTGTAACCAGTGATTTGAATGTAAAAACTGATATAAAAAATTTTGAAAATTTAAATTGTCAAATCAGTTACGATAATATTCATATTAATTTTAAATTTGAAAAAAATCATGACCAATTTAAAGTTAAAGAATTTAAAATTGTTCATTTTGAAAATTGTCAAGTAAATATTCAAGGTTCATCAGAAGTTGAAGCTAACGATTATGCATGTAGACAGATTAGAAAATTAATCAATCAATCAATCAATAAAGCTTAACGGTCCAGATTGAGGTCCATAGCTTCTTCAACGATTTGTTTCCATCGGTCGCTAATGAGTAAATTAATTATTGAACAGAAAATCATTTCATTTTTAAAATACACACAATAATAATAATAATAATGATGATAATAATAATAATAATAATTAAGATGATTATCATGATTATAAATTACAAATAATAATAATAATAATAATAAAATTACAATCACTGTTGTTACAAATAAATGATTATTACTTTCAAAAAAATGTCTTATTGTTGATGATTTTGCACCCATTCATACATGGATTGCACGTGTTATTTCAAATGAAACAAAAAAACCAGAAAAAAATTTTTATGATACTTTCTTTATGATCAAAGAATGGCAATCCATCAACCGGGTATATATATAAATCTGCTGTGATATTCTTCTCGATCATATCCTATTTTTTTTCCTCTTGTTTTGGCCATCAATTTTTTATAACAATATGATTAAAATTATAACTACAATTATCCTGATTATAACCGTT